AATATTAAGTACTTCCCGTTGACCGTAAAAGAAACATCGATAGTAATGAAACCTGGATATCGAAGAAGGCTCACAGGTTCACAATACGCCTGAAGGTCCCAATTCGCGATGGACCACCTTGCTTAATTGGACTATGGCCGAAACCATTTCCTAAGAGGAGATCCGTTCCCAGTGGTGGGACGTATATCGGTTGACGACATAGACGACAATTAAAAAAAAAAAAAATAAAATTATATCTTCCGTATTTTACTTAAAACTAGATAATTTTATTTTCTTATTCTTTAATTAGGTTTGTGCAATGATGTATCTTTAGTTAGTCCGTTGTTCACACTTTTTCCGTTACGACGCAAGCTTATCTCTGAAGATGCCATGACATTTATTAACGACCTTGTTAGTATAAAAGACCCAAGTTCGATTCATATAGTCTTATGTCTGTCAACGTAGTGTTAAAAGATATGGATGTTTTAAAGGCCGTAAGTAATTGCAGCATTGTAATCGTTGAGTACAAATTAAAGACCTCCAGTGTCTTGTACCTGCATCTACATAAAACAATATTTTAAATATTGATAAGTTACTTTAGAACCCTATATATAACAATGTATTGGAGTATTTTTACAAAAAACAAATGAATATTATGGCAGTAAAAACATCATTATTATCATCTCGCAATTTTAACAAATGTGCAAATATATATTCGAACAAAGCTATCGATGTAGGAGACAGTAGCCCACACTAATCTTTAACTATGGTTCAACAATGTTTGAAACGATTCGAATAAAAGTTAATAATATACAATTTAATAACAAAAATATGTAAGTATGTATGTATGTTGTGGTCATGGTAATAATCCAATTTAGTAAAATTAATCGGTCTTCTACAGAGAGACCTTTTAGGACCAAAATACGAATTCTGTAGTTGCAAGATACTGCCTCGAAGACAGTTTTAAATTTCTAAATAATATTAAAGATATAACGTCCGTTAGGACTCTAAGAGATAAAATAAGTGTTTTATTTTGTTTAACTTTAGCACATAATTTTATGTTTTCAGTGCTCCAGTGCACGAAGATGAGTTCAGAGAAGAAATGGGAGGTCTGTACGAGAAGTTGTATGACCCTAGCGTCTGTGAAACTGTACACGAATGTCCAATTTCTATTTTACAATTTATGTTGTTGCTCAATAAACAGAAGTATTAACATGTTTAACTTTTTAAAGATAATGTTTTATTTAAAAAGTCAATTAAAGAGCAAGGAGATCGATATACTCTGTTTTTGACTTCTTATCTTTTTCACAATACTAAAATGTCAAACCAATGCACACTATAATATCATTAAAAAAAACTGATCTCAAAATTTGTGGAATTACATCTATTTGCCAAGGTTTATTGAGATCGGTTAACACAAAATGGGTGAAATCGAACAATTAGGATTCATCCCCTAATTTTCTACCCTGAAAGGTGGAATAATTTCTTCATCTTTGAATACTGCTAAGATATTCCTTTTCCAACACAAAAAGAATCATCGAAATCGGTTCATAAATATGTAAGAAATAGCATACCATACACAAAAACAGCGTTTTAAGAATAGGCTGCAACAAGATTTTTTCGGATTAGTAGTAAAAAAAAAAAACGTAAAAACAAAAAAAACAACGTCTATTTATTTTCACAAATTTTGGTACGTTTGGTAAGTTTGGTAATTTGGAATACATGAACAATGCTGATATAAAATCAAAGTAACTCCGTGAGTGACCGTTGAATCTCGGGTCTCGGGTCTATATTATGTATATAAGCTCAAAAAATAACTATGATAAGATATCACATTGCATATCTAGAGATTCTAGAGTGAGCACTACTATATAATAGCGAATAGTCAACAACCATAGACGTTAACTGAACAAAGTTTAACGACTAGAATATATTACTGTGGTTGAAGAATATTAAAACAATGACGATAAAATTGATAAACTTGGAAGAGTGCGGATTACAGAAATAACATTATTCCATTACAACCAGAAGAAAGATACTATCTTTTAAGTGTGGTGTAAGTAAATAAAGAATTTAGGTTAAATTCGTTTTCTAAGCCACACATACTCATTTCAGTACATCGAATGCTTGTTCACTAATATGTATAATATTTGGTATAGAAATAAATGAGACCTAGGAGAAGGGCATAAGCTACGTTTTGTTACAGAAATAAATCATGAAAGAAGTGAAAAGAAAAATTAAAGTATCTTTGGCTGACCAATAAAACTTCGAAAAGAAGTATGGTACGTACGCAGTTACGTACGTAGCAACAGTTATCTGCTCGCTAAGAGAGTTTTTTTTAATAATGATGTTATGGTTTCGGAACGATTCTGACTATGGATCTCCACCTGCTTTGCCCTAGACAAATCTCCTTCGCCCCCTCCACTCCCATTAGTTTCTTCATATATCTTAACAACAGCCGGGTTAAAAATACCAAGAATAAAGTATTTTTAACCCGGCCGTTTTTAAGGAAATCCGCAAGTTGATGGCGATATGTACGCCGAGATCTACCTCTCCCATTCACTTTCGCTCTAAAAATGTATGCCGTTAATCTACTAACATTAATTCTTTCTACACGACCAAACCATAAAAGCATCCCCCTCTGCAAATCTTCAACATTTCATTTTATAATATCAAGTGACGGGACGAACAAGTCGTGCACCTCATGGTAAGCTACACGCCTGTCCATAACAGTTGTCGTGCCACTCAGGGCTTTAGATCGCAAAGATCCGAGGGGCACTGCCACTCGCACCCGTCATCCTGAGACATAAGTTCATAAGTCCCATGTGCGTATAATTTGACCAGCACCCTTACAATTTAAAACCGGAACGCAGTAATGCTAACATTACTTCTTGGCGGCAGAACTAAGTAAGGTGGCAGTTCCCTGGTTCTTTAAAAAATCTATATTTAAAATATTTTCTTCTTTAAGTTTGCAGGCTGTTTCATGCTCACTAGAGCAATTGTCATTTATGGCTGTCAAAGTATGGTAGCTTAGGAGACAATCTTAAGAAAATCTAGGCACTATTTACTTAGGTGATAAAATAGTGTACACTCTATCAACATTGTTAGGTTTAGGTAAACACGCCTAGTCTGCTAATAACAAAATCGGTATAGCTGATGACGTCAGTAGTATTTTATAAGTCAGTAGTATGATATAACATAATATAGTAAGTATTCTATTAGGCTTTATCTTCTTCTATTATTGGTACTCTTGTGTACTTAATGTTCATAACTAAATACAACGACAGGTGATTAATAGTTCTGTCGAATGTTGGAATAGAAACTACAATTTCATGCAAAATGAAAAAATAAGTTTTTCTGATTCACAATTGGTATATTACCTAAAATGAAAACTCTTGAACTAAAACATCTAAAATGACATCCCCTCTAACATTAATTGCACTATTTTTTATTGAACAGTGCTGCCATTTTGAATGATAATCCGGTACAACTATTCCAAGAAAGGAATACTTATTTCTCAATAACGATTATATTTAAATAAGTCATAATATACAAAAACTATGTAAGCCCTACAAAATTATCACTAGTTTTTACCACAGTACATTTTATCTTCTTCCGTCATTTCCAAGTGGTTACAAGCTCCATGGTTATTAAAGTAATAAAGTAAGCAGTAGTATCGGGAAAAAAATACAATATCGACAACGAAATAGAGTAAGATATGTCTCTTTTTAAAGCTGTCTAATGCCGTTTACCTGTACACGCTCAATGATCAGGGACCTGTTGGAGAAGAATACTCATGCCATAGTAAAATAACCCAAATATAAACTCGGTCCAAAGTAACAGCGCTGCTTGTGTGTGTGCTCGCCGCGCCGCCTTAATTTGTATGGAGTTGTCCGTACTTATAATTAGTGATAATCGTATTTTTTCATATGAATGCTAAAGAAGAAAACAAAAAGATACTTTTCAGTGTAATCGCTTATATCTCATTCCATACTGAAACCAACTCCGTCGTAGCACGCAGGTTATCCATTACGATCGATCACTGCACGACGAACGCATTTGCATCGAATTATGTTCTTGTTGACTTTTGATAACGTTTTTTTAATAATATTTTTGGGTGGCGGAAGTAGATTGGAAACATATTATGTGCTATATAGGGTACGTATTCCTATACGCATTTAAAAATTTAAAAATGTTTTAAAACTAGATTTAAAGTTCTAATTGTGATCGTCTGATGTTTGCTATTGCCCGTTGTATCAACTGATCAGTGATCGGAATGAACGTTTTCTTAGTATGGATATACCCATTTCGTCATTGATGACGCCATATATGAAAAAAATTTGCCTTCCATAGCTCGTGGAGAGCTGCGGGATAGGTGAGCTCGCAAGTAAAAGGAAAGGGAGATCGTGCTAACACCAGTCTTAAGATCCATAGAATAGAATAGAATAGAATAAGCTTTATTGCACACAAAACAAATGGAAACATTACAATATATAAGTTAATGGAAATGTACAATCGGCGGCCTTATCGCTAAACAGCGATCTCTACCAGGCAACCTTACAGATTATTATAGAATTTAATTAAATACAGGTGAAGGGCAGCTAATGGTGCACAAAGCAGCAACGATACATAAATTGAACTTAATAATCTTTATAAAAACTTACTACATAAATAACATACATACACATAACTACTATACTAAATATATATCGATACATATACAATACATAGAATATACTTATGATAATATACTACTTATATATATTTTAGAATTTGGATGATAAATACTTCAACTAAGTGATAAATAATATTCCTTTACCAATTGTTTAAATTTATCAAGCGATTGGGCACGTCTTATAGTTTCCGGTAGGTCATTCCATAAGCGAGCTGCTTGGACCGAGAAAGATTTATCTAGAGCTTTCGAAGAATGGATAGGTATCTGCAGCTTTAGGTTTTCCGATGATCGCAATACACGCAAGTGAGTTTCGTGAAGGAAGGTAAAACGCTCTTTAAGATAAGCAGGAGAAGTGGGGTTAAATAGGATATTGTAAAGAAGAGAAACAGTATGAGCATTCCGGCGAAGGCGAATTGGCAACCACTTGAGTTTAGTACGAAAATCAGACACGTGATCATATTTACGTAAGCCAAATATGAATCTAATGCTAAAATTTTGGAGTCGCTCAAGTTTATTCAGTTGCTCTTCAGTGAGATTGAGGTAGCTGACATCGGCATAGTCTAATAGAGGTAAAAGAAGGGATTGTGCTAGTGAAGTTTTAGTGGCAATAGGCAGGAAATTTCGAAGTCTCCTTAAGGATGCAGCCGACGCAAACATTTTGCGACTTACTTCTTGTATTTGAGGACCCCAGCTGAGATTTCTATCAATGAGCACTCCTAAATTCTTAACGCAATCACTGACAGGCAAGTTCACACCATTAAACGTAATTGGTGGGACATGTGACCACTGTATTTTTGAAGTCATACTTGAGCTACCAAGTACAATGACCTGTGTCTTTGAAGGATTCACCCTTAACCCATAAGACCTGCTCCAGTCATTGATATGTTCCAAATCAGCGTTGAAAACATTAATGGCATTATTAAGATGATCTGGAGAGGCTTGACAATAAATTTGCAAATCATCTGCGTAAAGGTGATAGGACGAAACTATTTTTACGGAAATACAGTTAATAAACACTGAAAAAAGCAATGGAGATAGCACGCCACCCTGAGGGACCCCGGCAGTGATATCACACCAAGAAGAAAAGGAATCCTCGATGCGAACACGCTGCCGGCGACCACTCAGGTAACTGTGAAACCAGTCAATTGCCGTTGGAGATACGTTAAGAGAGCGTAATATGCCAAGCAGAATATCAAAGTCCACGGTATTAAAAGCGTTACTAAAATCGAGCAGAGAAAGAACCGTAAGCTTTCCATGCTCTATACCCGACCTAACGTCATCTGTAATGTTAACCAATGCTGTAGTGGTACTGTGGCCTGGACGGAACCCAGATTGATATGAGTTAATGAGCTTATTCTTGCATAGAAAAGTGGATAGTTGCTTGTGGACAAGGCGCTCAAAGACTTTAGACATGAAAGGCAATATAGATATTGGTCGAAATTCGGAGAAGGACACTGGGTTAGCTTTCTTGGGCAAAGGAGTAATTTGAGCCTCTTTCCATGACGTTGGAAAGATACCAGTTGTAATGGAGTGGTTGAAAATATGCGTAATGACAGGGATGATCTCATCAAGGATGGGAAGGATCATTTTGCGGCTAACACTGTCACTTCCTACAGCATCGGAGGTTATTGACATAATGCACCTCCTAACATCACAATCGGACAATTGACAGAAATAAAAAGGTGAGTGATCGAGGGTTGGAAGTGATGAAAGAAGATTCAAAGTATTAAATTTCAAAGCAGGATCAAAATAATGTGTCGAAGAAAAGTGTTTATTTAAGAGATTAATGTCGATATTATTAGATGGTGATGATTGACGTTGTTTTCCAACCCCCATCGATCTGAGAAACTTCCAAACTTTAGCCGGTTCGCCATTCTCAACAGACATATGAACGTGTTGGCGTTGTGCATTCCTACACACCTTATTACAGTAATTGCGAATTTTTACAAATTTTTCCCAGTTTACAGTGGTAGGCCTGAACTTATATTTGCTTTTGGCTGCAGCTTTTTGTTCAGAGATGCGCTTTATATCCTCAGTGAGCCACGGAGAGGGGTGGTGCTTCATTTTTACCGCACGTACTGGCGCATGCACATCGTACAAACGTATAAGACTAGAAACAAAGTTTTCCAGTTTCTCATCAACTGATTTAAAGCTCAGAAGTTGCGACCAATCAATGTCGGCGGCATCCTCGCGGAGTTTATCCATATTTATACCAGCAAAATTGCGCAGCATTAGAACTTTCGGCTTCACTTTGGGAGGACGAATTTTATATGAAAGAAAAATTAAATCGTGGTATGAGAAAGCATCAGCAGGAAATTGTCCATGCCGAGCAATAAATTCTGGAGAAGAGACAATGATAAGGTCTAGAAGAGACGGAGTACAATTTGGAAAATTATGGGTAGCATTTAATAAAGGAATGAACAAATTGTTCGACTGTACAACAGTACGAAAGGATGAGGATCGGAAATCATTTTTAAGAAGACAGGTGTTGAAATCACCCATAATTATTGCATGACTGTAAGAAGGAATAAGGTGTTCTAATTTGCTTTCAAAAGAAGAAAAGAAGTTAATGCGTGAAGATGGTGAATAGTAGACTCCTAGGAGGATTTTCAAGCGGTGAAGGGTCACCTCAATAAAAAGGTGCTCAGTCGCGCTAGTCGTCGTGGGCTGTGGCGAAATATCAACTACCGAGAACGGTATGTGTGAACGAAGATATATAGCAACACCACCCCCACCACCGACCGCGCGATCATTCCTAATAAGGTGAAAGCCTGGCAAAGAATAAGAGGTAGAAGGGAGACATGGCTTGAGCCAAGATTCGGAAACAAGTATAGCATGGATATTCTTCCAGTCAAAGTTTGCAAGCATGTCTGGGAAATGAGCCGGAATGCTTTGTGCGTTAATATGTACGACGTTGAAATTATTGGGAACATCGGAAAAACATGAACTGAGTGAATCAGCTAGAGAAGGAATACTAGAAAAGCTATCATTATCACTACTGCTTATCGATACGAAGCTGTCCGTATCGCTAAGCTCACCCAAAGACAACATAAAGAATAGTGTCAATGAAGTTAAATAAAATTGAATACTATATAAATATTATGTAATATCTATACAATATGAAAATAAATGAAATATGATAATATATATATATATATATAAAATAAAAAAAAAAAAAAAAAAAAATAATAATAATAATATAAAATATGTTAATATTAATAATAAAAGTAGTTCTATTATTTGTTGCACAACCACAAAACTGCCCACCCGCTAAAAAGTGTTCAAAATGTAAAAATAAAAGAAAACATAGAATACAAGAAATAGCATGAATTCCAGACAACAAAACAAAAAAAAACAAACAAAATAGGAACACTAATTCGTAGTGGCATAACAAAAATATTAATTGCCACAACGGGAACACAACACAAGAATTACAAACCAAAATAAACAAAAACACATTTAAAAAAAAAAAAAAAAGATAACATGAGATTAGTGTAACGAGAATAGGCTGTATAGCGTGGTCCGTTGCCTTACCCTTATAAAAAGAATGGTAAGTGACTGACATTGACAGATAACATTTACAATTAAATTTTTAGACATTAAGTTAAGAACCAAAAAACAGGTATTCCAAAAATAAATTACAAAATAAACACAATATACAACGTTCTTTAGAGGGTCAGCAAGCGGAAATTTATAAATTATGATACGAATCCCGTTACGTCTCAGCACGAACTCCAAACTCATCAATACACTACTTCTTGACGACGGCGGCCCGCCTGGGTTTCGAGGAAACCTTCTTCGGCGATTTTGCTGCAGCGACCGGCTTTTCCAACTCATTTACCTCGGTTATGTCATCGATACGTCGACGAGAGTTGTCAGAGCCGAGGGAATATATGTTGCCCGCCGCTGTCCAGCATTTATTAACACCGTACTTCTGTCGTGCCGCCATAAAAGTGCAGTGACGTGAATGAGTCAAAAACTCAGATATAGTGACACCAGAATTCTTCAATTTTGATTTCCTGAACCAAACTTGGTCACGAAGAGTGACCTCCTGGAATTTTACTATGATTGGCCGGGGTTTCCTCGATGCAGTAGCGGGCCGCCCCATCCTATGGCACCTCTTTATACCACCAAGAGAAAAGTCTCCTAGTTTCAGACTGTTTGTGGCCATCTCAACCACAACCTGAGCTGTGTCCTCATTCTCCTGCTCCGGAAGACCATGGATCATTAACATCTTCCGGCGCCCCAGCATCTCAAGATTGTCAACAGTTCTTGAAAGAGTGCGAATTTGTGTCTGCAGAGCATTGAGCGAATGGGTGACAAAAACTTTAAAAGAAGAGAAGTCAGCAGCCAAACCTGTAGCTGTAGTAGCGGATGATGTGGATGGAGATTTCTGCAGCTCTGCCTCAAAGTTGGCCATCCTAGTTTGGAACATTTCCATCATTTGTGACAGTGATTTCTCGACTTGCTCCATTTCAGTGTTCTTGCAGGAATAGGAAGGAGATAACACTTGAGCGGGTGGGTTGTAGTGTTAGTTACTATTATTGATCATAAATATAATTAAATTATGATTTATTCCAATAAAATAAATTAAAAATTAAGACTGCTTTTAAATTTCAACTTTCTGTTACAACTACCCTCAATATGCCCAAGAGCTTGACATTCATACTGCTGCTTCACATTCACATGCGCGCCGGCCACAAATAACACCACCATGAAAACTTGCGGTATCACGGCTCAATGCCGGGCGGAGGCCCATATAGATGATAAAAATTGCGAATTGAGAATGCGAACGCGAGATTTTCTTAATAAAACGTAACGTCAAACGCTGCATTTTTTAATGTCATGGCAGTTAATTCGGCTTTGGCGCAGCACAGATTGTGATGGGAAAAGAAAAAAGATACGAGCTCAGACATAATTTACGTGGCGATATCAGTGATCAATGCATATAAAATGTCTTTTTTTACTATTTATCAAATTTTTCCGGATGTTGCAGTCAGTAAACATAATTCGGTCTTTTTTCGAAATGCCCAATTTCGGATAAATATCCGAAGGGTTCTTCGCCCAGGCTTTCTGAACTACAACGGCGTGATTTATCTGCCCGCTACTAACGTGTGCACTCTTCTACTGCGAGCTACTGAACGGCAGGGAAGTGGTTTTCCAAATTAGATAGTGTAAACGGAATTCGTTTAGTGTACGCAAACTCACTACCTGATCTGGTATCTAAAATTTGCATTCTTATTCCTATATTATACGCGTAGTAAACTTTCAAACTTTTTTCTTTTATTTTCTTACCTAGCTTCTACCAGACAATAATAAACGTACTAGTAAACTAAAAACGTCTCATTCTAAACATTCAAAAATGTAGATTGTCTCATGTTTATGTTTTAAATGGCTAAAGAATTTAAATATGTAAGCTCCTATAGCAACACATCAACAATATTTTTTTTGGACAATAATTTATAGCACATACTTAATAGGAAATAGTATTTGCCACTGAAACTGCTAATATACTCGAACTACAGTAAATAATACGCATATTCAAAAATAATCACTTGCGAGAAGTCCTGGGACTTGTGGAAGGGAATGTCTACATTATTCTTTAGTTTAGCTAAATTAACTCCATCAATTCCGATCACTGCTAATAATGCTTTCAACGAAAAGCTTATTTTCAAAAATCAAATACAAAATGACTTTATTTGAATGTAATAAGAAAAGCAAGTGCAAAGATAATAGTGTCTATGACTTGGCTACAGAAGACTAAGGTATTCTGCCATAGCTAAAAAACAACGCTGAGCTAGAAGGAAAAATCTAAAATACGCCACAACAATACGCTACATAAGGTACAATTTAAAACAAACCTGCATCCCTGAACCGCTTGTCAAAATAAAGCAAGTGCAAAGATAATAGTGTCTATGACTTGGCTACAGAAGACTAAGGTATTCTGCCATAGCTAAAAAATAACGCTGTGCAAAAAGGAACAATCTAAAATATGCCACAACAACATGCTACATAAGTACAATTTAAAAGAAACCTGCATCCCTGAATCGCTCGTCAAAATAAACTTTGTAAATATTTTCGTTTAAGGCTGAGGCCAGACGAGCGTAACTTCATGAGTTGTGAGTCGCGTTTTTTTCTCTCGAAGTTTACATTTGACTGACATTCGGTTGGGGCGACTGACGAACAAATCTTATTCAGTTGCTTTTAGACATTGGTACAGGTGTTTGTATAACACAAACACTAGTGTAATGGATATATTAAAAATATTGAACATTTATCAAGCATTAGATAATGTTAGAAAAAGAAAAATAAGCTGTGTACAATTACTGTCGTCAGATAACTCATCTTGCGTCGTCGTGTGGCACAAACTGGACTTGAAAATGAAACTGAATGCAGTGTAATTTTAACGACTCACAAGTCACAACTCAAATATTACGCTTGTCTGGCCTCATCTTAAATGTTCATGACGAGATGTTTCAAGATCTTTTTACTCTGAATTATTTAATCTAAAGAATTGTTTGAGTTCCTCTTTCTACTCTTTAATAGCTCATTTTGCGTCGTCATGTGGCAGAAACTGGACTTTAATAAGAAGCCGAATGCACCGTAAATTAAGAAACTCAAAATACGCGACTTACAACTTAAAAGGTTAACCTTGACTGGCTTCACCCTAAATGCTCGCAACGAGAATATTCAAGATCTTTTTAGTTTCAATATTTTAATCAAAAAATCGCAAGAATTCCAAAATACACTACACAGTTGATACACGTAGGCTGCTTTACGGCCTTAGATATGAGCACGATTTGTCTGCAGGGACCACCCCTAATGGCAGTCACATTTTTGCGGACCCAGTGGAGGTCCTAATGCACCTAATGGAATTGCTGCGATCCGTCATCGGGGTCGCCAATTTGGTGCCATGCCCCATTGCCCGTTGTAGGTATGTGCAGATTATTTGTTAAGGAATTGGACCAAGATTAAGTTTACCTTCACGCTATTTGGAATATATTTATTTAAGAAACTAAATTACTTTAGTTTAAATGCCAAGCCTTAAGAAGTTGCCAAAATTGGGATGCTGGCAGCTTTTTTTCTATAATTGGTTTAAACCTGGAAACAATCAGCTTTTCGATCTCCTATTCGTTCTATCCGTAATTAGTGCTAAATACATAATATGTTCGTAGGTAGACGTGTAGATAACTGTTAACTAGAACGTTAGAAGTCTGGCCATGTTAGACATCTGACCTTTAAACAAGACAATGTAAGATTGTAGTAATATTGTTTTTTGAGGTTATGGTTAGCCCCCAGGTTTAGTAGCAGTAGACGTCCTTGTGAAAGAGCTCGTCCAGGGAAGTACCTACTGCCACCTTGCCTGTTTCTGCCGCCAATCAGCATGTGTGTATTACTGTGTTTCAATTTGGAAGGGTAGGAGTGCTGGTGAAATTGCAGGTACGTGAGATTTGTCAACTTATGTCTGAAAGTGACAGTGCCCCTAAGATCTGCTATTAACAGCTCTGAATGGCATTGCAACTGCTATAAATTGGCGTGTCGCTTAGCACCAGGTGCACGGTTTGTTCGTCCCGTCACTCGATATTATAAAAATACATCGATGTTCCTAGTTTTCAAATTTGGATATTTGAGTTTCCATTACAGAAGTTGAAACGTTTTTTTTAAATAGAGGTGTTTCAAGTAACCTTTTTTATTCAATTATTTTTTTCGACTAAATTGTATGTCACTTCGGAGAAAATACAAAGTAGATGCAGTTGACATACCTAACCTTAACACAATATTCTCATTTTATGCTTAGCGAAATTTGGGCTGAATAAACTCCCCTACTTACACTACACAGAACCACCAGGCTCTAGTAGTGGCTCGCTGTCCGTATCAATTAGTGACCTTTTAGCGGCATTGTACGACGTTTTAAATGAGGTGTAAATTACTTTACCCGCTATCCGACTTGACATAGTTCGTGGTAGCACATTTTGTGCCACTGGTGCTTGTTATTGAAACCTTCGCAGCATTATCTTTATGCGACAAAAGAGAAAACAGCTTTTTAGTTTCAGTAAATGTTTAAAATAAGGACCAAATATGACGGTTTATAGTTTCAAATAAGTATTATTCCAAATATGAATTGGATAGTGATTTTGATGTTGGCCGGTTGTTTTATCGAATTGAGTATCGCAAAGGACGTGCGGCGTTCTGCCAGTTCCAAAATTTTGTCAAGAAAGAAGCGATATATTACTTTTCCAGAAGGGTCCAGTTTTTCTGTAAGTAAATGCCTGTTTTATTCTAAATAAGACATTTTCTTTTTTGTCTATTAAATTATACAGGTTGTTTTTTTGAACACGAGACAAATTACAAAAGGTAATTGCTTAGGGAAAAAACATCTTAAACCAAGACGACCCTTTCAACTAGGAGAAAAAACTGCGTTCCACTCGTTTCTGTCGAGCATGTAAGAACTTTTTGTATTGAAAAGTTGATTATTTTCCACGCTTTGATAGAGTACGGCCAGGTAAGTACTGCCACGTTACCTATTTCTGCCGCCTAGCGGTAACGAGAGCGATTTTATGCTGGTGACTTGTCAACTTATGTCTCAGGGTGACGGGCGCTGTGGCAGTGCCGCCCAGATCTTTGCAATTTAAAGTTCTGCACACTGCAACTGCTATGGACCGGCGTGCGATTGTTCACACCGTCAATTGATATCATAAAAAAAGATTTTTTATTTTATTTCAAACAAAAAACAAAATAAAATCAGAACAAAAATTAATTTGGCGTAATGTTCATTGCAGGCATCGAAAGTTTCTTCACTGGGCCAGAAGAGTTTTTGTTTTACACAATTGTGGCACTAAGAGAACGTTATTTTAACCTTTCAGTGTGCCGGCTGTATGACAGTAGGTTTAATCGGGCAGCCAGCGCCTCAAACTGTTGCAGGCACCTTCACCTTCGGCCTTAATTGGGGTATAGCGTATGAACTTCCAAATGCCACAGAGACACTTAGCTATTACCACAGCAAGCACAGGCTGAAAAAACCGACGGCAATGAGAAGAAACCGACGAGAGCTGTACGAAAAGATAGAAACTATTTTGGATAAGTAAGTTTCTTAAGATTTGAACATAATAAACAACATGCGCTATTTTGTGTCTCTTCAGAGCAGAGAAACTTTATACTTAGCAAATTTGCTATTTCAATTTCAGTTTATTATGACGTATGTAAACGTATATGAAGGCCATTGAATATCACAATGTTTTACTATTATGATATTTAATTTTTTTCAACACTAAGAAAAATTTCGAACCAGTGTCATCAGCATACCAGGCCGACGCTCTGCCAACTGCGCTACGGAACGAACCAATAGACCTTACGAATTTCTATATGCTTGTTGCAGACCCCTTGTTTTTAGCGACATTTTTGTGCCGCACCGCCATCTGTTGGCAATCTATGAACGTTTTTCTTTACTCAGCCAGTTACCTTTACAGCAAGTAGCGCCTGACTAGAGGTGTCGCTTTGATAATTGTAATATAAAGTTCATTGAATATCACAATGTTTTACTGCCATGATGTTCCATTTTTTTTTGTGAAATTACTCCGCTAGTTAGTTGTAATTATTAATTTATGTATGTAAATCGAAAACTACGAAAAATTCCTCCTTGCATGTAAACGTTACTAAGGTTGTGTCTCTTTCAAAAGTTCAACTTCATGCAGTCGAGGTTTCGGCTGCGTGAAGTTGATAACGACTTCACGCAATGACGTCAACACGCGGTCAATCTGTTAGCAATCTAAAACATTAACTGACGTCACGAACATTGCCATTAAAAGTCGTAAAGTAAAATCCGTAAAACAGCACCTCCTTGTGGAAGTTCGTTCAGGGAAGTACTGCCACTGCACCTGTTTTTGTCGCCAAGCTGTAATGTGAGCATTACTGCGTTCCGGTTTTGAAAGGTGAGGATGCTGGTGAAACCATAGGCGCTTTGGACTTGTCATCTTTACGTCTCAAGGTCACGGGTGCAGTAGCAGGGCCTCTCAAATCTTTGCGATGTCTGTAATGCATGTCGCTTACCACCCGGAGCACAACGATTTCGGAGAACGACGAAAAGTTTTGAATCTTTGTATTAAATTTCAAATTTTATATTTTCAGCATGGGTTACAATGGCAGGCAGTGCATTTTGCGGACGCTATGCGAAACTACACAGCGGGTAGTCCCTCACGGCGATAACATAATCGAAGAAATGTTTAGGACTTTGTTTACGTGAGTTAATTTTGTTATTACTTGCAATTATGTTGTATCCCTTTCGGTATTCTTTATTTTTATATTCAGTTTTACGTAAGGGAAACATGATCTTCCCCTTACATATAGTCGGTTTTGTCACTAATGGAAATCACTGAAAATTCTGTTGAAAGAAAGTTATTATTTTATATCAGATAACAATGATCCATAAATTACATACCTTAAAGACTAATATACTTGTAATATAGTATAAAACAAACTGATAAACTATTTAGACGAATTACTAATTGTCAGCGACTGAAACGGGCCTCGAAATCGCCGATCAACGAGTACATAACCAAAAATAATAACGAAATAATGGCCTTACATTCATGATAACTCATCAGTGATACATCACTTATAAATATCAACTCTCGTTTGTACTGAAATTACAAATTAGAAAGCTGAAATAGTACAGCTGACTGACCTGTAACTGACCTATGTGTACGTCTCCGTATATTCCAAAAATATTCTGTAGTTATTGTAATAAAGATGATATCTCTAACAATGGCGTGCTGTTCCATTCGGTGTTGTAGGGAAAAACAGCAAAACATCTAATTACAAAACAAAGGAAATCAAATTTCATCGGTAATTAAATATTATATTTTCGTCCATTATAACAAAGCTCAAGTTAATTGGTCGATTTGAAGTTAAACAATTGACGACACCCGTCAATTGTTTCGAATTCGGGCTGGCCAATCGGAGCGCAGTTGTCACAGCAATGAAATAGCAGAATAGTTTTCAAACAAATGAAATAACATTTCATGTCTATTTCTGGTTATATACCTAATGTCGCCGATATACAACACCCTTCGGCCAAAAGTCCTCCTTCATGAAGATCGACAGAAGATCCATTCAACCCATTGATACATCCCACTGCTGGGCAAGAGTCTTCTCTCGGGTAAGGGGACTTCACGCGTCTTCCGTTGGTTGTGAACCTTCTTCGACGTGCAGGTTTATTCACGATGTTCTACTTCACCAAAAAAAATTCGCGCATAAATTCCGTGATGCGAATAAGGATTCCAACCTACGGCCTCTGCTTGAGAAGTTGTAGATCAGGGCTGCCACGACTTTTTTCCTCACCACACGAATTAAAATTGACGTTGTGGTGGTCATGGTCTGATGCGTCTGTCTTATGTCGTCCATTGGCATAGCGAATGACTGTATTGTCACTTCCTTCTATTGCATCATTGCTTTCGAGCACGTAAATAAACAAATAAATAAATAACGCAAACACTCATAGCTCCACACTAAGGAAAACCTGTATCGTGTACCATGGACACACTCCTAGACAACAACGAATTGCACCCAAACTCACGAGATAAATAAATGTAAGCCATACAAATATTTCACTCGGCCCGAAAATCCAACCCCGACCATTGCGTGGCAGACCAGCATGGTAACCGTCCGGCCATGGAGGCAAGTAAATAACCACTTCAATTATCTGTCTATCTCGAAGGCCAGCCTGACGTTTAATGACGACTTGGTGAAAGTTTTGAAAATGTCCTAAATGCGGACAGCGCAAGACCGATTGTTGTGGCGATCTTTGAGGAGGCCTGTGTCCAGCAGTGGACGTTCTTCAACGTGAGGAGGATGATGTTGATCATTGACTATGAGGTCATGCCAGGCCAGGTTTTTCGGTTAGGAGACAGAATTTTTTTGTAGCATTTTTACATCTGATTGAATTGCCTAAGTAGGATAAGCCGTTTTCTCCTATTTTTCCGTTATAGAAGAATTAACTTTTTCAATCTAATTTAACAACATTTTCTCATTGAAAATAAAATACTGTATCCTTGTTGAAAATCCTAACATAATTGAGTTAAGACAAATTACAAGTCTGCCTACAAAGCTAAAAGGGTATTCACGTTATACAAGGTGAAATAATATATAGTTTAATTTCATAGGTAAGGAAATAATACTTGAAACCGTCACCTTACAACTGCCTCCGTGGCCAAACGATTACCATGCCGGACTGCCACGCAGAGGTCCTAGGTTCGATTCCCGGGTCGAGAGAAATATTTGTATGGCCTACATTTATTTCTCTCGTGAGTTTGGGTGTAATTTGTGGTTGTCTATGTGTGTGTCCATGGCACCCGTGACACAGGGTTTCCCTAGTGCGGGGCTATGTTGAGTGTGTGCGTTATTTATTTACCTTGTTTAAACATTACTTGTCATTCATAAGGCAGTTCCCATGAAAAGAATGAGTAAGAAACTTCAGGGGTTGTCTAGGAGTTGCTCTTTAGATTTTCGTGGTTATTTTTTTATTTCGTGGTCAGGCTTGTTTTTCTATCAGTAATTTCTTGTTCTGGTGACGTGTTTGTCCCGTTACTTATCACGTATCATAAAAAAGTAATAAATTGTATAATTGACACTTTTTGTGAAATAACCGCACCAGTTTCTTATGATTATCCTCAATCTGACGGGACTTGAACCCATCACCTCTAATACCAACTGAGCTACAGTACAAGTTATCGAGTTGACGAAATTATCTTACGTGTTTTTGATATAGATCTTAATAAATTGTACGTTTAACCTTTCTAAAATACTCTAAAAGTAGTGGAGATAATATAAAATCTATCTTTTGGGTCTATGGCTAAAGAGCCAATTTCGCGATTCACTGTTTCTTAGTTCATTTTTACATGTTACAGAGGGTAACAACAATACGTTTAGAATTTCAAAATGTTCATGACTCTGAATTTTATCCGGAAATTAGAACTGGCGGACGTGTACCATCATCGTCTACGTCTTCATTTTCTAGCGGAGAATGTGGGAATTCTGAAACCAGTTTTCAGTAGCACTAGAGCTCCTTGTGAAAGAGTTCGTCCATGGAAGTACTGCCAACTTACCTATTTCTGCCGCCGAGCATAAATCTGAGCATTGCAGTGTTTCGGTTTTGAAGAGCCAGGACGCTGGTAAAAGTACAGGCACATTGGATCTGTCATTTTACGTTACTTATGTGTCGGAGTGTGAGGGAGGGTTCCTATCGAGGTGGCCTGAGTGCCCAGGTGGTTCTTCAGAAATACTGACCATGGTGGATACTCATTACATTTAGAAGAGATCGAAAACAAAACGCTGCACGAAAAGTATATATACTTCGTTTACAGCCAGGTGTTTGGTGTAGACGGCAGTATTGTGGAGTTGTCTTGCGCCCAGCGACCCGTTCTCGAATGTCTCTCCTAGCAAACAGTAGAACACTCACGACCATTATAAATAGGAACGTACAATGATGTTATATATTAACGTACAAATTTCTTAATGAATAAATGAAAACTATATTCAAATATGAAAGCCGTCTTAGGGCGAAAACGACTCGCCAACAGCCTTGTTGCCATTCAGTCAATGTGACCGTCAATGTGCGGGGCGTGACGCGGTATTTAAAGCTAGGGAGGGACGGAGAGTGTCCATTGTCGTTACTTTTTATTGTCTGACTTGGTATCTTAAAATTAATTATTTAAATATAAATAAATTATTTGCTAATTTCGTTCGTGGAATCTTTACACTTATCTTCTAATACGTTGTCATTTTGCAAATGTGCATTGTATACTGAATATGCTTAATAACAAAAGAAAATGATCAGGAAGACAATACCTAAGTCCTTGTCAACTGGCAAAGATTCCCGTTTAGACACCCAAGTTTAATTTTGGACACAAGTAGCTGCCAGACTTTTGGTCACACGAGACTTCAACGAGGCAAAGTAAGCTTGACTAATTACACTACATGTATTACACATGTCACCCTGTACCATTTTTCACTGCTGAATTTAATCTGTTCAGGGTACAGTACGCTATTTTCATAATTGGTTGGGATTTCACAATCCTACGAGCGTTTAGTGATACGAGTGGTTTCTAATTTATCAACAACTAAATTAATTACTACAAAAGTACATACACAGTAACATAGGAATACAACCACACATGCTTGTATGTGCAAAACAGAGCAAATATACAAACGCAGACATTCGACATCGTGTTTTTTGTCAAATTTATTGTTTACATTTATTTGTTTTAAATTAAAAGTCAATGTAAGTCAGAATGAGCGAGCCCTCCTTACGAAAATATTTAAACGTAAGTTATGCCTCCTGTGATTTTAATATTTTTATCTTATTTACTTTATACAAACTATGGTTCATACGATACACTACGGTTGTAGTATCTGTATATTATGTCATACCTGTTCATTCACGCATGGAATGCATAAATATTCCACATTAGTCACGAGTTAACATATAAACATTGTATGTTGTAAATTAATACACACTCGCGCATGCATATGCACCTGTACCCGCGCACACATGCACGCACGCATGCACACACGCACGCACGCACGCACGCACGCACGCACGCACGCACAAACCCGCCCAAACAAAACAAAACAAAGCAGCAATACATACATAAATTCGTAGTCTGTAGAGTAAAATAAGTAGTAGCTCTGTTGGGAAAGGGATAGCCTATGCAAAGCCATATGTTGGAATTATAACATGGGTGACGGGCGCAGTGGCAGAGCCCCTCAGATGTTTGCAATTTTGTTAACGATGATGTTTGAAAGCTCTGAGTGGCACTGCAACTGTTATGGACAGGCGTATTCTAAAGAAACCAACATTTTGGGCCCTTTACTGGTCTCATAGCAACGGTTGATTCAGACGGTACAGTCAACCATTAATGACTTGACTTTGCCGTGGTAGCGTAATGGTTTGACCTACTTCAAGCAGAGGCCGTTCGAGTCCAGGCTTGCACCTCAGAGGTTTTGGAATTTATGTGTGAAATTTAATTGATAACGAAGAAAAACGTCGTTATGAAATCTGCACATCGAAGACGGTTCACGACCTTTGGAAAACGTGTAAAGTCCCCAATTCGCACGAGGGTTTAGGCTAAGAGGAGAACCGTGCTCGACAGTGGGATATGTAAATGGGTTAATGTTGTTGTCGATATGAGTTTGAGCAACTTGAAATTTCTTCAAACAATACAATAATGTATTCTTATTGATTACAGGTTTCCAGTGTCCAAAGTTATTCCCTCCGAGCCCGTCGAGCATCAAATATACGACTCAGCCCAACGCCTTGGCAAACTCCTGGACAGCTGCGACCAGTATATGTGTCCTCTATCACTTGTGGACTTGGTTCAAGGATATTATAATGCTCCTGCATCAAATGTTGATACCGTTTTCAACTCTTGGGCGCTTTTTAATAACAATTTTGGATAGAATAAAGTTTAGCGCTCTTGTCTTACACTTGTTTTCTTTTTCGTTTTAAAGAACTGTAGCGGCTTTGGAGACGACTCCAGGACCCCGATTCAGAACTCTTCGATATCTTAACCGAAGGATATCGTTCTCGAATCGAAGGGCGCTTTCCGAGCTATTCAGAACATTCCGAGTTAAGCATTCGATTCACATTCGTTATCCAACAGCGTTTGCGGAGTTAGTCGGCGAATATAGATTATAAGAAAAAATAAATCCTTCTATATACATTTTTAAAACTTTAAAGGCCTTAAAATATAGGAATGCATTGGTCTCGCATTAAAATAAATTAATAAAATTTAACAAAATCCAGATTTTATTTAAATAATAAAAGATTTTTATATTACATTCTTGATTTGTAAACAATAGGACCGAAGTAACTTTCATTCGTTGACTGTGTTCTGAATAACGTTTGTAGCCTTTGCCGGTCGAGAAGTACGTGTCATCGTACGAGAGTGGCGTCATTTTGATTCGGTTTCGAATACGACAGTTTGACGTTTCGGTTATAGTGAATAAAAATGAAAAGAAATCGCACGATATCTAATCGAATCTGTCGATAACAGAGTTATCGTAAGGTACTGAATCGACCTGCAGGTCCATTGCATCCCAGCGCTACTTTTAACTAATCATATTTTAAAACAAATTCATATACTTAATGGGATGACTCGACGGCTAGCAGTTATTTTTCTTAACGTATTAGCTTACGCTTACATTAGAGGAATGCTGCCAGTATTTTGAGATACCTAGAATGTATACTGTTCTACGCCTATCGTTGCAGAAACACACCATGTGAACTGGTTACTGGTTAATTTATTTCTCCCGCAACCTTTTCCTAATCATCGAGACACTTACAAATGTCCAAGGGGTAATTTAGTAGCTCCTTGAGAAAGAGTTCATCCAGGTAAATACTATCACTTTACCTATTTCTGCCGCTGTAATGGAGCTTTAATATGTTCCAGTTTTGAAGTTGGGTGCGGGTGAAATTACAGACACATGGGACTTGTCAACTTATACCTCAGGGTAACTGGCGTAGTGGCAGTACCCGTCAGAACTTTGCGATTTAAAGCTCTGAGTGGCACTGCAACTTCTATGGACAGCCGTGTCGCTTACCACCAGACGCACGACTTGTTCGTTCCGTCACTAAGTATTTCCGATTGCGGATATCGACATAATGAAGCGATCTGTCTCAGGCGTACAGCGTTGCCTTCCGTATCTCCGTCTTCGGATATGTTCATTAATTTCCTGGTACTGATGGATCACTCGCCAAATGGAAAACCGGATTAAGTTCAGTTGCTGAACAACGTCAGAACGTTGTGTCTCTGATTGCAGTAGTGCAATCGCTTGAAGGGCTTCATCAGCACTGGAGTGCATGTTAGGATACCTTTACTTACTTAGACTGTTTAAGTGTGTTCTTGTTGAAGTTTGGATAGTAAATGACCTATAATTAACCTAAAACCGCCGCAACGGTTGTAATAGCTGGCTAGTGAGTATCCGGCTTAGATATTTCCACGTTTTTATTGAATGTCACAATATTTTACCATGATATTCAATTTTTTTTTTGTGTGATTGCTCCACTAGTTTGTTATAATTATTAATACAAAGATCGAATACTCAGAAAAATTCCTTCGATCCGGCCGGATTCGAACCAACGTCTCCTAGCAAACCGTGCCAGACACGGAACGAACCAGCGGACCCTACGATTTTTTCTATGCGCTTGTGGCAGATCTTTGTTTTTGTTTTTTAACGGCTTTTTAAACACTAGCGCCTTCTGTAAGAATTTGATTTCTTTACGCGTAGCTAGTTTTGCTTAAAAGGGTTATTTTTCTTCATATAAATAACAGCATAATTTATATCGAGTTCTTAGGTTTTCGCGATTGTTACACATAGGAAATGAAACTATTTTTCCGGATTTAAATCGCGTATATTTGTTTTTTCAATCAAACCGACGTTTCGGGCCCTTTACAGGTCCTTTACTTTATTCAATAAAGTTTGACAAACCCCAGGTCCTTGCAAAAGAAGTCCGTTATTTGCACAGGATGCTGGGAGAGGCCATTGAATTTAAAAAACATCCTAATTTCAACAGGGAAGATGGTTTCTCCGTACCACCAGTTTGGGATCCAGTATTTCCTCTAATGAAAAATCCCAAACAGACATAAGACTGCAGTACTAATTAATATGTTTTAGTTTATTCTAATTTCTATTAATAATTAATAATAAATTAAACTTAATAAAAATTCATTCAATAAAATAATTTGTAAAACTTAATGTAGCGTAAATTGGAATGTTTTCTTTGTAAAATTAAAAAGAAGGTATTTAATTAATAACTATTGTAACTATAGTGAAAAAAATAGGGTGGTTTGCATTAATATTAGACATAACTGGTTGAAGACTGTACCACCTCAGTCAACCGTGACCATGGGACCTGTAAAGGGCCCGAAACGTCGGTTTGTTTGAAAAAACAAATATACGCGATTTAAATCCGGAAAAATAGTTTCATTTCCTAAGCATAATTTATATTCACATAAGTTTTTAAAAACTTTCTTGAACCGGGAATCGCATCAACTAAAAATGCAAAAAAATAAAGTCTCACTTTTCATTATACCAATGGATAGGATCAATCAGTACAGAGTACTAAAAAAACCGACCTCAAAAGTACTTGGAATTAGATCTATTTGCCAAGGTTTTTTGAAATCGGTCACCGGAAAGTGCGCAAACCCGGATTCATCCCCTATACGGAACTTGACACGGTAGATAATAGAAATCAGTTCTCACTACTCAAAGTATGTCGAGAGAAAAATGCCTAGAATTAGAGAATAGCAAAATCAACCATTAAAATAATTGCTCCTTATAATAAAATTTAGGCGCTATTTATAAAAATGAATCTTCATGCGTGAACTGCCACTCTTAGAGAGATTTTCTTCAAAACTAAATGGGACCACTATGGAAGTACCCCCTTTCCAACAAAAAAAGAATCATGAAAATCGGTGCACAAATACCGGAGTCATAGCGTAACATACATTAAAAAAAAACATACAGTTGAATTGAGAACCTACTCCTTTTTTCAAGTCGGTTAATAATAAGGATAAAATCTTTTCACTAAGCATTGGGCCTTAGTATTAAAGATAATCATGAAATCTAATATTAATGTAATTAATATTAAAATCGACTCTAACATGAAATAGATGAATCTTTTGCTATAGCCTATAATGGTAAAAAATGCCGAGCAAAAAGGATAATATAACAATATAAAATACATTTCATAAGCCACAAATTAAAAAAAAAACGTTTCACTCAGTATTCCAAGGATCGCTTATCAAATAATCTTTGTAAACGTTTTCGTTTGAATGTTGCCAAAGAGATTTTTCAAAGATCTTCAAAATTGCAATTTTTCTTTCTTTAAAAAATTGTTTGAGCTCCTTTTTTCTACTACTTACACAATCGCAAAAATTGCAGCATACACAACGTAATCCACACACAAAGGCTGCTTTACAGCCTCAGACATGAGTACCATTGTCCCCCAAGACCACCGTTAATGGCAAGTACATTTTTGCGGACCCAGTGGAGGTGCTAATGCACCTAATTGAATTGTCGCGATCCGTCATCGGGGTCGCCAATTTGGTACTATACCCCATTGCCCATTACAGGCATGATTAGAAAATTGTCAACCTTTGGAACTTCTATTCGTTTATGACGTTAATTTCTGTTAGGTACATAACATTTGACGTTAGAAACGAATGACCATTTCAATCAGTTCACGTCTTAGGTAATGGCGCGGTGAGTGGTGCAATGCCTTTGGTCTGCTCTATTATTCCGCCATTACCTCTATTGCTATACCAGACTGATCGTTCTTGTTATTTTAAAGTATACAAGAAATCTTTTCTCATAAATAACCAAGCACATAGGAAAATTGGCATAGCGTGGTTTGCTGGAAGACGTTGGTTCGAATCCAGCCAGATCGGAGGATGTATTTGTAAGTTTTCGATATTTGTATCAATAATTAAAACAAACTAATGGAGTAATTTCACAAAAATTATTGAATATCATTGTGGTCAAACATCGTGACATTCAATAAAGGGCTCATTGAAAATCAGTGGCACAGTCAGTTATGGCTGTGGCAGACGCTGAATGAAGTCCTTTTTCGTACGCCACAACTGCAAAAATGACAGTACAATTTGTAGTCGTCATATTTTGTTTTTTTTTTGCTTTTTCTCTGTTTTTGTCTTTTATGTAATTTTTTTGTACTTGTATTTTTTAATTTGTTTATTAATTATTTTTGTAGTAAAAAAATAAAAAAATTAATAAACTTTAACATTATACAATAAATCATTACTAAATTTAAATTATACTTATATGGTAATATACCACAAAGTCGAAAATTTTTTTGTCCGAAGTAACGTTTGTTCGAATATTCATTACACCGAAAACCCAATTATAACGAAACCGTTGTTCTTTCAGGATGTGTAGGATGTTTATCGCAAAGACAGGATTAGGTTCGGTTAGGTTAGGTTAAGTTAGTTTTAAAAGAAGAAAAAAACATTTTCCTCTCAAAATTACTTTCGAGGTTATGAAAATTCAAGCAAACGTTATTTCTGGAAAATGACATTTCGGATTACTGATAGGTAACCCACAAAATGTGATAATACTTTTTCTTTTATAACTTTTTTAGCTTTGTGTTCGGAGTTTGTGGAGAGATCTCACAAACTTCATCTATGAAAGTAAGTAAAATGGTACACAACTAAGCTGAATATTAGCCGAAGATTTATTTTAGTACACAATGAAAGGTTCCAACGGTGGAAAAGCCTTTTACCCTCACAGTTTTAGCGTTCTAGAGATTTATGAAAACATATATCACGGTTGCGGCTTAAAGAACTACTAATGGTTTTCATGAACTTTTCACTTTTACTCAACTTCATTTCAGTGTCCTTAGAACTCTTTTTAAATCAAAAAGATTGAATTAAATTGGTGCCATTTGATTGGATACGAATGGTCCCTAGCATAAGCCACTAAATAATATCGTGTTCGAAAGTAATGACACATTAAATTTAGAGATTTTACCGCTCGAGATTTTAGACTCGGACATATTAACTAAAATAACGGACATTAGAAGTAGTGTGCAATCCTGCATATGACTTTAATAGAAAATGAAGCAAGAACAGTTAGTTTCTCTGCGCCCGCAGCCGTACTGAGTGATCGGGCTGCCAGGGCTTTGTCGCGCAGTTTCCGTCGAGTCACCGCCGCGGAATCTCATGATTAAGGACCACGAATTGGTTCGAAACATGTCCAGCAAAAATTCGACTTAAATACGTGAGTTAGCCGTTATATTAGTTAAAAATAACAAGCTAAAGTTTTGTAGATCGGGCGTAAAGAACCTGAAGTGCCAAATAGTATTTTTTACTACCGACTGTTGTACAGAGGATAACGCTCTTAATTTGGCATTTAAAATGTTAAATAAAAAACAAACGACGATAAGATAAGTCTTACATTAGCTTACATTACAGAGACTGTCAGTTACCATTGCGTGATTTTAAACATACCAAAGCAATGTTTGTGAAAACATATAAATTCTAAAATATGGACTTAAGATCCATTACCTCGCCACCTACAGAGTTATAAAACTATTTACAAACATAATACGGATGACTTCAAAATAAATCTTGACCTGTTGATTCCTCTCATGGATCTGAACAACTTCTACAATGGACCTTTCAGAAAAAGACGCAAAATCAGCGTTTACCAACTTTTGATAAGTAGTAGTACAGTAACTGCTTTTACACTACTATGTAACAGCGATTAGAATTTATAACAGACTTCCAATGAAAATGAAATGTTTAAATGGTGATAAATTTAAAGCTTATTTAAAAAAATGGTTAATTGACAAAGTTTTTTACAATCTTAACGAATTTTATATAAAGACATCAAATATTTGACAATTGTATAACTAACTTAATTATAATTTTAATTTTTGACATTTAAGTTGTAATAAATTTTAATTGAATTGTAATTTTAAGACACCGTACGCCTGATTTGGGTAAGAATTGTAGATCTAATCACTTGTAAGTAACACCTGTATTTTACCAATTCATACAATAAATGTTTCTGATTTCTGATTTCTTACAACAACAATACTACCTTAAATGGCTTTAGTTGATTCCGCGTAACATTGAAAGTGTCGAATTAATCACTTTGCAAAAAGTATATAGTAAAATTTAGAATACACACTGATTACTATACAGTGTGAAAATACAATTCCTAAAAATTTTCACGATAGAAAAAAAACACAAAGCTCAATAGGTACTTTACATAAACCAATGATTTTTTCAAATTTAATGGCTTTAGTGAAAAAATTAACCGATATTTCGGTACTAATACTACGTTGTATAATGTACAAGAAAAAAATTATTTCGAGCTGAGGTAGGATCGACTCATAACACAACTTGTTAAATTTCATGACGTCGACTAGTAAAATTCACAATCTCAAAACAAAATACAATGGAATTTTAATAGGATAAATAAAACACTTCGCATCTTTTTCTCTCTGCACTTATCGTTTATTAGTACATTGCAAATATCGGGAGATTTTTATTTATCTTTAAGAGGGAGTAGAGGAAAAATTCCTAATCTTCGATTTGATTTTAGAGGGGTATAGCCACTTTAAAGTAAAAAATAAAATATTGTATGAGTAACTACACGACATATTCTAGCATAGACATTAATCAGAAACATAAAACAATAAAGTTTCCTCGATAGATAAAAATCACGAAATGACCTCTAATTTTCACGTTTTTTCGATTTATCCTCGAAATGCTACAGGTTATTAGGATAAAAATTAGATAATTATAATTATTAATACAAAGATCGAACACTCAGAAAAAACACTCAGAAAAAATTCCTTCGATCCGGTCGGATTCGAACCGACGTCTTCTTGCATACCGTGCCAGACGCTATACCAACTAAGCCACGGAACGAACCAACGGACCTCACGAATTTTTCTATGTGCTTGCGTCGTGTCTTTGTACTTGGTCTTTCAACGACTTTTTAGTCGTAGCGCCATCTATGAGAAATCTATTACAGATTTATCACCCAGTTAGTACCTTTACAGCTACCAGTCCTAGCGAGAGATGTCGCTATTCACTGTATTAATTAAATTTTTATTGAATTGATATTCAATAATTTTTTGTGAAATTACTCCACTAGTTTGTTATAATTATTAATACAAAGATCGAACACTCAGAAAAAACACTCAGAAAAAATTCCTTCGATTCGGTCGGATTCGAACCGACATCTTCTTGCATACCGTGCCAGACGCTATACCAACTAATGCGCAAAATTCAACATCTCCTGTCGCATGTCACGCGAACTTTAGGCATATATTTGTTTCACAAATTTGGGCGGAGCCAACATCAAAACTTTTTTGTCATGCTCCCTCTTAATGCAATGGTTTTAAAGTATAAATTGTATTGTCACCTCTCACGGTCATACTTGAATCTCATTTAAACAACGGTATTCATAGTAGTGGTGTCAAGTTCCGACAGCGTGGCCATATCTGTGTTGGGATAGGATACAAGGAGATCAAACTGCTGAAACGAGTTTCAAAGTAAACTATATTCTCATTGCATTTGAATAAAGTTGATATGAGGTAAATATTTGAAATTGGTTAGGGCACAAGTTTCCTACAAGCAAAAGTTACAACAGTCCACTACGCAGGCGTTATCCGGGTAAAACTTAATAAAGGCAACAATCTTTTCCGATTTTGCTGTAATGATATATGTAGTGTTTCTATGACTATTAGTATGGGGATAAACAAGAGCTAGAAATATGAAAAGGTTGAGAAGAAAATTCTGTTGACTGTTGATCGTCTTACTGAAGATAACCACGGATAGAGCGGGAATCGCACGGCAAGATGATGAGTTCTCTTTTTTGAACATTAATTATTGTTTCTGGCCTGCTAACGACGAGTGAGACACACGATATGTTGCGTAGACGTGACACGTGAGCGGTGATGCTGCGTTGTACTCACAGACATAGTTGTACTACATACAAATAGAAATACATACCATATGGTGCGTTACGTCGGACAAGGGGCCATGAGACGAAGCGGGCAAGGGATTCTTACATTTTTATTCTATATTCCTCTAAATTCCATTTTGGCGTTATTTAAAAGTTACGACCTTAAGCCGAAAAAAAATAATTGAGAAACTGGAAATGTAATAAAAGTTATATTAAAAACGAAATCTTATAAAATCTGTGACAAAAATTCGCCATTTTCTTAAGTTTCCAAAATCACCGAGTAACTTTTTTGAAATGCTTATTTTGATAGCTGAGACTTGCTACAAAGTGCTACAAAGGCACGTCAGGATACAAATACTATGAGATAAAAGGTGAACGACTTTTGAATGGTTTTTTGAATGGTCAACGTAAACTGCATGGAACCTGCATGCTACGAATTCGACAAACTACCACAGGCGAGGCGTGAACATTTTCTGAAAGCTTTCACTTTTTGAAAAAAACAAAAAACACTCACAAAAATTTATTTTCCCTTTAAAAAAGCGCCTTGGCGACATTTAAGGCCAAACACTTATTAGCACACAAGATACTAGTTCACTTCATTTCATTGGTTAACTTATTCTACAGATAAAATAACTATAGTTTTTATACTTATTTACTAAATTTTATGCTGCCCGTGGCAATACGAAAGTTTGATAGTAAACAAAGTCATGAATGTTAGGTGTTAATTACCTACGAATTACCATGACCTTTTTCATACATTCTTTACGTAGCCCTATTAAAAAGAAATACCCAAATACATATAGATACATAATGTGTAACAGCATTTATCCTTAAGGTTTAGAAAACACATATTAACCATATTTTGTATTAATTTGCTATTACAATAATTTTGTAAGAAAGGTTTGTAAAACTTGAATGTATCTCGCAAAGATTCAGACGATAAACAAATTTAACTGTAAAGTGATGAAATAAGGTTTAAATTAACGTGAACGCTATTCGATTACCCGATCGCTATTACCCGATTTATCCCTGCTTCTTGGCCGCCATTTCTTAATAAATAAATAATAATAATAAACAACGCATACACTCATAGCCTAAACTAAGGAAACTCTGTGTCGTGGACCAAGGACACACACATAGACAGCCACAAATTACACCCAAACTTACGAGAGAAATAAATGTAGGCCATACAAATGGGAGAAAAATCCCAGCCTTGGAATCGAATACAGGACCTCTGCGTAGCAGACCAGCATGGTAACCGTTCGGCCACAGAGGCAGTTAAATTGAGTTTTTAAGATATCCAGGATCAGCAAAAAGAGATTTACGACTCCTTCTAATCTTTTTTTTAAATATCTTATTTAGTTTCAGTTTTATTGATAAGCAAAATCAGGGTAATTGAAATTTTTTTAGGTGACAATATGGCGAAAGTTAGTTTTGTTTATTATTTATTTATAACATACACACCTTATAATAAGTAAAGTATAAATAAAGCGAAACCGCATAAACCTATTAAAGATATTTCTGTAGAGCACTGCATATCATATTGCCAATAATAAACACAAAAATCCGATCACAAAAGTTTGCTTATCAGTTTTTTTCGATTTCCGATTCTGACTTCTTGGTGACAATAGAACTGTTACGGACTTCTTTGTACATTTTTTTCTGGTTTGTTTCCATGGTTACGGTGATGTGTTGATTACATGTATTAAGTCAAAGAAAACAAAAGGGCAAATGTTTTTAAAATTTGCGATAACCGAAACAAATCCAGAACAGCATCGTCTGCATCAGGGACTACTTCGAGAGTATACCCTTTCAAACAAAAAAAAAGGATTTTCAAAATCGGTCCACAATTGACGGTGAAATTGGAAAATATACATAAAACCTTAGAATAATAACGCAAAGAATGATAGTTTCATATCAAACGAACTGTCACAAGTGAGGCAAAAATCAAATTCTAGTTTTAGTAGTAGGTTAATTTTCGGTTTTAGTAAATATTTATATAAAAATACAAGTTGAAACGCGTTACTTCCTTGTGGAATGTGATGTTAGTATCTATTTTATGTTTGTCTGACGTATTTTTACACTTATTTACCACACGTTTCGTCATTTTTAGCTAAAATTCTTGAGCTGGTCGCGGTGCAAGTTGACCTTGAGCACTGAAGGCCCGCCCGCTCGTGTAGGCCCATTGGGCGCGCTTCAATTTGCCTCACTTAGCGCGTGCGGACTAGGTTTCTATGCATTATTATTCTAAGCATAAAACATACATACGAACATATAACCTCCTCCTTTTTCTGAAA